GCACCCTGTGCTCCCCCCCCCCTTCCCTAGTTACGGCCCTGAGTTTGTTGGGAATTTTGTTTTTCTATTGGGTATTAGAAGGAAATTCCCAACAATAAATTTCAACGTTAGGTTGGTGTTCGAATAGGGAATTGAAGGAAATTCCCAACAATTCCCAATTTGGGAATCCGGTTTTTCCCCCTGTGTACTCTGCAAACTCGTTCTCTCTGGGAATTGGATGGGAATTCAATGGGCTGGTCGTGAAATTGTTTCTTACATATCGACAGTCAAGAACTTAAAAGGTAACAACTGATTATCTTTGATTAATGGGAACCGAAAACCAAATTTCAGCATGCAGCTTGCGACTACTGTGTCATCAAACATATCCAATTATATTTTCCAATTTTTGGACTTTTTTGCACTACATACACTTATTTCAATAAAGTTAGTCACCAAATAACCTAGAAAGCTGAGATTACTGAGGATCCTGGGTAACTTTTAATATCAAACAAGTAAACCTTTTTTGATACAAACTGCAGCTTAAGGATGCTCAGGAGAGGCGAGACTGTATTGATAGAAGATGTGCAAGTCCATCAACAGTTATCAAGCGGTTGAAACATGTAAAATATATCTACCCATAATCCTTGTTGGTCTGAGCTTTGTAGCTTTTCAGGTGACTAACTTTATTGAAACAAGTATATGTTTCAAAGAATGATTGCAAAAAATTATGAGCTGACAAATACAGATGTGGGGGAAGGGTAGGGGTAGTGTCCTCATTGTATAGAACGGTCTGAACCCAAGTGAATGAATGTTAATCGAAGTATATGTGATCATCCGGGTGAATGTAGTCCTGAGAAGGACTGTTTGATGTGACTGACGTTTCGACAACCTGAGCGGAAGTCATCTTCAGAGTCAAGTGAAGAATAAAGTCAGATTGGTCATATTTATACTGCCACGATAACAATAGCCTAATTACCTGAAGAAGCGTAATTGACGACATCGGTCTAATGAGTGCGCGTCGCTGTTTCGGGGTTGAGGGCGGTTTTATTGTTTCTAATAAGACTATTATACGGAGCCGGTAAGTTAATTGAGCGGCTTAGTGGATGATGCTCAAACTTGGTAACCGAACTCTCCAGCACAAGTCGTTGCTGCCTATTGTTGCAAAAAGAAAGGCATTCACTGAATTCCCAGTCTATCGTATGACCAGTCTTGGTATGATGCCTGGAGGCATTCACTGGATTGCCAGTCAATCGTATGACAAGTCTTGGTATGATGCCTGGCAATGTTATTATGTTTATCCTATTAATGCATCCTTGGACACTCACTGCAATTTCCTAGTTCCATTAAACCACCTTGGTTTCCAGTCGTAAGTTTAACTTACTTCATCTCGATAACGAAACCTATGACAACTAGGAAGGAACATATCGTACACCTTCCACCTGAGTTAGCCACATTCCAACTTGGAAATTATGGGTCGTAAATTTTTGGTTAGGACTTTCCTAGCAGAGACCGAGTAAAAGTTAGATAATTATTGAGAAAATAAGACGACCAATATCGGGTGCTATTCTTTGTATTTATTTATATAAAAACAATCCAAAAGTTGACCACAAAACGTTTTCTACGATTATTTAATAGCTATTTCTTAATTATTTGAAGATAATATAGGTAAGTTGTAGTGCTTGGGAACGAGGTTATTCCGGGCGAAAGCCCTTGGAATTAAATTCGGAAAAATTAATTTCCGACCTCGCTGGGATTCGAACCCACGACCTTCGGAATTGTACTACCGATGCTCTACCAGCTGAGCTAGAGGTTAGACTGAGAGCAGGCCGGGGTGAAATAGATGTTAGGTCGCGGTAATTATGATGCAAAGATGAGAGTATGTGGACCGCGTGGCACTAATGAAATAGTAGAAGATAATATAGGTAAGTTGTAGTGCTTGCTTAATTATTTGTCAATTCAGTTTTTTTCTTCTGGGATATGGTGGTATTTTGATGAAAGGTAAGATAAATCCAAACTTTCCAAATGCTAAGCTAAAAGCCTTTTCAATTTTTAGCAAAGTTAAGATTAAAATACATTTAACAATTTTGTGAAGCCGCCTTGAAATTCATCTAAACTATTTGTTTTCATGTCTGCGATGTTGACATCAAATATTACAAAGTCCTGATAATTGAAAGCCAAAATGCCCTGTATGCTGTTGCATGCCGGCAGGCATACTCTACATTCAGTTTTTGTCTTGGTCTATTCATGGCTAGAGACAAAGAACCTTGATAATGCCCAATTCTTAGTAATAAGAATATCAAACCAATTTTATCAAGTAAAGCGATGCCATTGTCTAGTTTAACAAGCTTATGAGACTAAGGCCCCGTCCACACGTATCCGGAAATTTTAGTATCCGCAAATTATTTTTTGCGGATACCAAAATGTTTGCGTCCACACGCAGCGTATTCGAATCGTTTTCACCGTCCACACGTATCCGTTTTCGTAAAATTTGCGGATACGGACACAAAAATTTGCGGACACGTGTGGACGGGGCCTAACAGTGCCAATACTGAGTGCTCCTACTTAAGATATTACGAATTTAACAAGAAAAGAGGAATCTACATAGATAATTATTACAAAAGCAATAATCAATAATAGGATAATATGACTTTGAGAATAGCATTAAAGGTGGTGAGAAAAGGCTTCTCCAATGTATCCCATGCGTAGAAACTTGAAAATGTTCATAGGGACTGGAAAATTGTAGATTGTTCATTGAAAAAATGCAAACAAAGTCTTGGTCCTGGGTTGGGAAAGTGTTTTCTGATTATACTTTTTCATATCCTCTTTGACTCTTGCGTCGTCCTATGATGTATGCTATGAGGACGATCAGGACTAATCCTGCCAGAGCACAGCCAACGGCAATAGGTACAATGTTGGAGGGGCCATTCGATGATTTTGAATCTTTAGCCTCACATTTATTTGCTTAAAAAGGAATAAAACATTAATGAGCAAAAGGTAGTTTGCATTTTTGAGCAAGGAGAAAAGGAACCATATTGAGTCATTAGGACTTTAATATTTGCAAAATCTACGACGGCGACGTCAACCGGAAGTGTAAATAATTTGTCTTCGGGGTCCTGTTCATTGTAGATTTCATTCAAAACATTGTCAGTTAAGTCAACTCATCCACAGGGAGAAGACAGATTTTAAACCGACTCGAAACCCAAAGTGCAGTAATTTACGCTTCCGGTAGACGTCGCCGTCGCAGATTTTGTGAATCTTAAAGTCCCTATTGTGAAGTGCCACACTCCAGGGCTTAAAATAATGGCCGATGAGTCGCTGGTCATGATCACGGGCCAAATTAATTTAAGCTTAGTCATACCTCATGTCACATTTCTGGCTCAACGTAACGTAACATAACGTAACGTAAGGTTGAACCAGAAAAGTGATATGAGGTATGACTAAGATAAAACTGATTTGGCCCGTGATCATGGTCAAAATGAACGGCAAGGCAAAGATTTGGCCAGACAAGTCCCAGTTTTGGCCGGACATTGTTCGATATCCAGCTGTTATTTTAAGCCCTGCACTGACTACCACTATTTTTTATATTCTTGGTTTCAAAGGCGGGAAATGCACTGAGCTCTCGGGCAGTTGGTGCTTTCTCACGAAACAAATTTTGATCACGTGCTACATCCAAAAGCTTAACACGTGGTACACAAAATACGATCACGCGATCAATTTCTCTCAGCCGCGGGCGGGTTTAAAAGCTCCTCTGGATGGGTTGAAAAAACGTGGGGTGTAACGGTCTACTGGGAAGAGTAGTAAAAAACTAAAATAAAGATATGTATAAAAAAAAGAAAGAAACCAAACTAGGGTTAATAGAAKTACACAGAGTAAATTTAATCTAGGCTGAATTATAATTTTAGAAGTTGATTTTTGTGGAGGGAGGAAAACTGGAGAAAACTGGATGGAAACCCTGATTGAAAACCCAGTATGCATCGGTGAAAAACGAGGACTCCCACTGCTATCCCACCTATTCTTCGTTTGCACGTGACGTCATAGACCAAGAAAATAACAACTTAAATTTAATCATTAATGCAATAAACTTGATTCTTTGATGGGTCTTAGAGAACTATGATGTGACTAAGTGTAGAAAATGTCAGATCGTTTCATCGTTTTGTTTTCAAGTTGTGTGAATCTTATTTTGTGATCGCTCAATAAGTGTCTAAAGCGACAAAGAAATACAGATATTTTTGCCAAATCAAAAGATTTTAGTGTCATACAAGCTTATAAATTAGATTTGTACATGTTTGAAATGAATTTGATGAATTTTTGTCATTAAATATATTTTTAAAAATTTTGGACGCCATGTTGGACGATACTAGATATCATCAAGCAAGTTTTCACCATACATTTACACAAAAATATCGGTAACTTCGTTCGCTCATAGCTCGTTTTAGAAATTCTCTAATGCTCCAATTTTTTGCTCAGAGTTGTATTATAAGTAGCTCTACATGGTCATAAGGATTGTTTTTTGATTGGAACCAAAGAATACTTTAGCACCAACAACTACACGTGGTTGCAAACGAAGAATACATCCCTTCTATGACCATGTGTTTACACACTAGTATAAAACATTCCAACTTCTTTTAATCCGGATTTGTATATTATATTTACCTTCACCAAACATTTCCTCGCGTTTCTTGTCATTTTGCACATCAAATGGCTGTAATTGAGCATGCTTGACAATCATTGTTCCATTCTCATTAAAAGGATAGTCTTTTTCAATATCACACAGGTAGGAGCCATTTAAGTTGCCAGAAAGTTGATGCACACGTGTCTTATTATCTCCATTTGCCTTAAATGTCAGTAATTTATCTGCAAGATAAATGAAAAGATAACAAAATGATGATTAGAAAACGTTAGAGTTAACACAATAAGCCCATGTAAAAGTACTTTTAACAAAGGAAAACAGGATTTTTACTCATTAATTTTGATAATTTTCGCAAGTTTATCATCCATGAACATTCTATAGAAATACAACATACTCATATTGTTGGCTTTTAGTTGTTTGTTCTAATGGGGATTCATCTGGGGGAAAAAATAAAACCTTATCCAATTGATCGAATTGGAATCAATAAGTTTTTTTTGTGCGTGGAGAAAGGAAAAACTGGAGAAAAACACAGAAGAGAAAAACAAAAAACGACTCTAACAACTTAAATGTAACACTGAGTCTGGGAATAGAATCCAGGTAGCCTGCTTCCCCAAATAGCAGTTATTATAGATGCATGCAAATAAGATGCAAATGAGACAAGAAGCACTGTATCAGCCAGATAGCCTCACTTGTATGACTCTTAAAAGGAAAGAATTTCTCATTGTGGGCTCGACTGTAATAACAGCTATTCATGAGGCATGGCTGGATTTATTTATGATGCGAATCAAGGGCATACATGTAGTGGTAGGGTTCGTGGTCCTCACCTCTTGGTTTTAATTCTCAGACTCAGCATAGTGCACTTCAAGTACTTTTCATAAAGACAACACTTGAAATAAGTAGCTAAACTCACTCACCTTTAGCATTTGGAAAATGTGAATTATTTTGAGTAGAAATATCTAAAGACACTTCAGTAACCTCCCAGCCAGGTGAAGCTTTATTTTCATCCTTGATCTTTCTAAAACTCATTGTGAAGACATAAAAAGTCCAAGATACCACAAGGGTAGAGTCGTCGTCGCCACATTTACTTTCATTAGTTAATACATCTTTAAAAGGCATACCAACAATAGCAAAATCCTAGAAGAAATTTAGCAAATTTAGGTCAAAACTGGACTTTCATTTTGAAGCCACCAAAATCAACTATCAGCTTCTTTAGAAAGGGACTTCTTGAGCTTTTATAAATGTGTGAGCTTCAGAATATACAGCGAACTAATTTTGAAGGTCATCAGTAAAGTTCCTTTTAAAATTATGTTTAAGATCAGACTAGTCTTTGGAACTTTGGTTCCAATGTAAGGTGAAAAACTGTAAAATCAAGAACTGGAAATGTAAACCAAAAATTAAATGCAATCAAATCCCAAAGTTTATGACAAGATTTCTTTTGCTCAACGTTTTGATGCTCACAGGCATAATTCTCAAGAGTGACAAAGTTTACTTATAGAGCGTAGTGCAGTTTTCGGCGCATCAGGTTTACGGCACCGAGCTTTTCACAGTCACAACCGTGTTCGTGCTGTGAACTTTTCACAGTCATATGAAAACTGCACTAGTCATTATACCCATGCAGCATAAAGTATTACCTAATTGTTTTTATACATCAACAAATAGTAAATATTACTCAAACAGAACATTATTGATTTGATTGCATGCACGGCAGTGTTGAACCAGCACCTGATACTCTTTCCACTTTATTTTCAAGGTTTACTCCGGTGTGATTTACATGAACCCTCAATTATATTATTCAAGTTTAAAATGAGTTCACACCTAATAAAGCTGTGTGGTATATATTCATGTGTGAATTCTGAATCAGCCTAGATGGTTGTAATTTTTCATTTATTTATTAAGTTTGCATTTAGCTGATATTTTGGTGGTGTTAAGTCCTAACTAATTTGATTTTTTTCACAGGAATAATAATAGCGCTCTAACAATGTTAGTGAATAATTTATTATGTCATCTAAATGCTTTGTCACTCTTGAGAGTGGGCATTGGAATGTTGAGTAAAAGAAATCTTGTCATCACAAACTTTGTGATTAAATAGTTGAAAACAAAATGCTTAGTTCAAGGCCCTTTCCACACTCTGCTGGATAAATTTGAATCCGAATTTTCAAACTGAAACCGAAAAAAAAGTTTTCCGTCCACACTTATATGCCTAGCTGGCGTTTTCAAATTGTTCCACTCTGGAGACTGTATTTGAAAAAATTCGTTTTCGGTGAATCGCCAGGACTAGTGTGGAGGGAAGGCCCAACCAAATAAATAAAAATTTGGATTCAAATTTAGCTGGCATAGTGTGGACGGGGCCTAAATGCAATATTCACATAATTCATTTCAAATATGAAAAACTTGTAAAACCTGTTTTACCTTGACATTCTTTTGAATGGTCTTATTGCCTTCTTTCTCTGTTTCGTTTCGGTAATAGGTAACGTTGAATGAGACAGCAAGTTTTGCCAAAAGACAGTACTTATCATTCTTCTTCACACTATAGTCACCATATGTAGGCTTGGGAGTTGGTTTGGGAACAGGCGGTTTAGAAGTTGGTGTCACAGATGGTCTTGGAGCTGTTGTAGAGTATGGTGCAAGTGACGTTATGGATGAAGACATTGACAATGCAGAGGTCATGGAAAAAACAGTTGACAATGTTGTATTTATAGCTACTGTCATGCTGGATTGACCCATCATTGAAACAGTGGCTGTTGGTGAGGGTGAGGGTTTATTGATAGTTATACTCATATTGGTATTGTTTGCTCCTGAAATTAAAAGAAAAAAACAAAGATTGAAAAAGCATTGTTTTTTCTAACATACCTTCGAAAATAGGAAGCTTATAATTCTACTATAAGCCTAATAAAATTTCCAGCTTAGTAAATGGGAAGACTTGAAAAAGATACTTTTATGACTTACTTTTACCCAACCCTGCCCCCATTAAAATAGCAACGACAATCATCAAACTTTTAAGAGTGAAAACAAAAGAAGCATGAAATAATGCAAAATGCATCAATTTTTGCATTTTTAACCAACCCCTGTAGTCCAGTCGCTTAAAGTCAAAATAGTTACTCTGGTAGCATACTGCACCCTACCCCCCCCCCCCCAAACTTATATCTGTTAACTCCCCTTCACTTAACGTATCAAATTGGACATTTGTTCCAAATTTGGTGCTGTATTCCACTCTGTAACAATAAATTAACCTAATTTCCAGGGTTAAGAGACTGGACTAATGATACGAAGTCAGCAAAACTGTCCTAAGATCCATAAAGCTTGTTTGAGTTTATTAATAAAATTAATTCAATCTTATCCCTTCCTCAAACTTTCTTAGCCTGTTTATATAGAGGAAACCAGAAGAATAGACTGCCTAAAGCCAATTTCATATGTAAAAATATGGTGTCACTTCAAGAAATTGGGTGATTTTTTCCATTAGAAAATGCTGAGTGCTTGAGTGATAAATAATTTATAGTTTTGTTATTTTTGTCTTCTAGAGTGCATTTAGCTATGCACTGTTGAAAAGTTAGATAAATTTATCTAACTTAGATAACCATTTAGTTTATCACCTAAAACGGCAAGTATGTGCCAAACCAACGGTCATGTGAATCTGGGGGTTTACTTTACATGCCAGAGAATATGTGAAAAGACATTTGTTATTTACTGGCCAGGAGGTCCAGATAGGGAAATACTGTGCCCGAGGTCTTGAAAACGGACTGAAGCCATTAGTCCGAGGTCCGTTTTCAAGACCGAGGACACAGTTTTTCCCTATCCGGACTGACTAAAGGATGGTAAATAACTTATTTAAATTTTTTCCTCATATTTTTTTACTTGTTTTTGTATTCGTTGTGTTTTGTTGCTTAGCGGCAAAGGATACCGGACCGCGACCGCGGGCAGATACTGACAAAATACCGCCCGCTCAAACAGCCAATCAGAATGCACGATTTTTTAGGATACCTGACCGGCTTTTATTGTTAGAACGGCCAACGTGGTGGTTGTTTCATTGTTATTTATCTCTCAAAAGGTTTTGAGCCATGTGGTTGCGCCCCCAAAGAATAAGTATCTAAATCATTATCATTATTTCTTAATCTGGCAACTTCATTTCTTGTCATCATAGATATAGATAAAGAAGTTAGTAATACGATGCAAGAAATATTATTAAGTTTGAAAAAGGTGAACAAAATTGTATGGAAAAACAAAAATCCTTGGTTTAAATACGCTCTTGTGTAGTGTTATAAGGTTGACTAATTTCAGACAATACACAGTTTTCAAAGTAGTATTAAGTAACCAAAAAAGAAAGCACTAAATCTGTTCTTACATGTAATAAATGTGCATTTTGGTTGAAGCATATAGGAAAAGATTTTTTTCCCTTTTTAGATAAAAAATCTGAGCTGAGCTAAGCTAAAACGCAGCTCTCTTTCCTATGAGCACATGTGCAGTAAAACTAGCTTATTTTCTCTTGATCTAGTACTTCTCTACTCATTTGGAAATCCCTCTGTTAACTAAAAACCCGAATGAATAATAGCTTTATTCCAGAAAAATGAACAATAAAAGCTTACAAAACTCTTTTAAGACTCAAAATCACTCATTACGTAGTAACAATATTCTAAAAAAAATTGCTATCTTAAAAGTATGTCGTTTTTTTTGGCTCCCAAAGCCCTTTCTTCGCAAAGATCTTGATCGACGGTTAATCTATAATGCTTTGATAGTCTTTACTTACCAAAGCCAACGGCCAAGCAAGCCACAAATATCAATACCTGGTACATTCTGATGCGAAAATGAGACTTTGTGTCGAGAATATAAATCGTGCAGCGATCAAAGAGGAAGAACTTTCGCAATTGGAGTCAGTCATGTGATTGACACGGGTGAAGAGAAAGAAAAACGCATGCGCGAGCTAGGACAAGAGTAGGGGAGGGGATGCACCCCTCTGTGAGAATCAGTTGCAATATTACAAGTCATTACAAGTAGGGTTACAGTGTTTTTCTTCCGTCAATCAAACTTGATAAAGTGTATGAAAATGTATAAATGAATTGATTCATGAATTCAAAAGGAAAAGAGAGAAAGAAAAATAGAAAGAGAGAGAGAGAGAGAGAGAGAGAGAGAGAGAGAGAGAGAGAGAGAGAGAGAGTAAGAGAGAAAAAGGAGGAATGAAGAATGCTTTATAAAATGCATTCTTTTCTGAAGCTAGAAGTCATTATGTATTGGACAAGAAGCAGCATTGTCTGATGGAAAGACTTGTGTGCTGAATAGAGACTAGACTTTTCAAAGGTTCAAAATTCAAAGTCGGAACTGAGAAGTGCTTCGATTGTCGCGAAACTTGTTTTAATGTCACTGTATGTATGTCTATCAAGGCCTCGAGCCCTTCTCCTGCTGTGGGACTGCTGTGCAAAAGTCTATTGAGTATTCAGTCATGTATTCACGATACCATTTGTTCAGTCCGTCAGTTTACGATAAGTGAATACGCTAGCTACCACTACGCCGCCCTAAATTCCCTTCATAACCTTCCCTCCTTTCTCCCATCCCTTCCCCTTCCCCCTCTTCTAAAGAAATATGCATCCTCACTTTTTCTCGTTTCGTGATCTCGTTTCGTACAGTTTCGTGGCTTGACTACTATACGCGATTACGTAATCTTTAAAATTTCGCTGATGGGTTCCCTGTGGGGACCCCAGTCTCCCTGCCGAGACTAAATAAATAACAACCAACACAAGAAGAAAGCCAGTTTTAAAGATGGCGGGTCCAGTCATGGATGCTACTTGCATCACGTATGAAGGAATTAACTTCGAAGTAGAAACATTTCCACCAACAAAGGACGATGTTTGGGTACTAGGGAAGCACTATAACATCGAGGAAGGTAAAAACCCTGCTTAGTAGTTCTTCTCAGATAATAAACTCGATTCATTTAAAAAATATTTCCCTTGCGTTTTTATTCATTTGTTTTGTTTGCGTTTTTTTTAAATGAGTAGTGCTTCTTCCTCTTAAATCCTTTTCATATTCTTTCTTCTTTATTTAGTGTAATTATCCTAAGAATATTAAAAGAATTAATCTTAAAGAATATTTCTTTATACCAATATTCAATTCGTAATACCTAAACCTACGTTTACATTTTGGTTGATAATTTGTAATTAAGTTTACATTGAATTGCACTATGATATGATATAGGTCATTTATTGACAACTAGTTGTTATAACTACCTTGTTATTTCGATACCAAGGGATAAAAGTATTATATTAATCATAAATTATTGTGGATATTTCAGGCGACTTACCCTATCTAAACAAAGATATTAGGACAAGGTTATGGTTCACGTATAGAAAACATTTCCCAAACATTGGTAGGTAAAAAGCTATTATTTCAAGGCAAAAAAATATGCCTTGTAATGTGGAGGGTTTTCATTTTCACAGCAGCCATGTTAAAGGGCGGGAATATTATGATGGTTTGTAGAAAAATGCATTTAATTTCCATGGAATAAAATTTTTGTTTTGCCCTTCAATATGGCTGCCAAACCATCTAATGAATGGCCAAAAACATCATCAAAAAGTAATAATGGATTAAGCCTTTATTCAAACCTTTTATAAAATACTGGTACAATATGATACTCTTGTTATATATTATTTGTTTGGGTTGACAATATTTATATAGTTTGGTAATTATAATGCATCTGCTATAAGTGTGACAAATATTTGGTAACATGACATTTAAAAGGTTTCATTGTTTATGCATGCATTCTGATTGCTTACTGTTGAGTGCTGTGCTCGATCATGACTGGTTAAACAAAAACGCCATTTGAGAGTTTAAGTAAAATGACCATTCTTCATTTTCATCTGACATCATAGCTAACATCTTGGATAAATTTAACAAAAGAATTGTCAATTAATTCTTTTATTATATCATCTAACATGGCCAACATGTCTTTTGTTATTTCACTCTCCTGGGAATGATTGAAAACTAACAATAGAGTTATAACCCCTGAAAAAAAAAAAAAATGAAATCCTTGTATGAAAAATTATTGAGTAATTTTTGGTATAAAATGTATATAATGGTTTATTATATAGTTAGGATAGTATGTGCATGCTGATTGGTCAAAAACTGTGCTTTATTAGTGAACAAAGCACGGTGCTGACGCGACTGGTTTTTTTTGGTGTAAATAAATTCAATACCAAAATAAAATTAGTGACTGTATAATAAAACCAATAAAACAGCTTATCTGTTGTCCATCCAGTAATAAAGCCCTTAGGAAGTGCCGTAAGCAGTCAAGAAGTGTGAAAAGCACTCGCCTATGGCTTGTGCTTCTCCATACACTTCTTTCATGCTTATGGCTTGCTGCTTTATTATTATTTCTACCACAAAACCTTTCTGCAAGAAAAAAAAAAATGAGTAGATAAAAAATAAAGTCTGTTTCGACCCATGTGAGATCTAATGTGATGTAATTTTAATATACGAGGTGGGACTGGTCCAACGACAGATTCTGGATGGGGATGTATGCTGCGATGTGGCCAAATGATGTTGGCTCAAGCCCTCATTTGTAGACACTTAGGTAGAGGTAAGAAACAATATTGAATGAATGTAAAAAAATCATATTACAAACTGGTTATAACAGGATGGTCAAATTGCTGACAAACAATCAATGTTTTGCAATGTCATATTGTCAGAGGGTCAAGTTACAATGGTTCAATTCAACCCACTAAATTGAGGATCACTTGACAAAACGTTGTGTCTGAATATTAAGCATGTGTTACTTTATTGCTACCATGCTAGTGGTATTTAACAAAATATTTATCTTTAGCCTCCTTTGTGAATACCAACCAACGTGGCTTGCCATGCCTTTGTATTTTTACTCTCTTGCAAACTGTCTATGTTTTATTATAGACTGGCAGTGGGATCCAGACAAACCAAAAGACCTAAAATACCTACAGGTACTTCAGTAAAACAATGTAATTAAAGAACATGTGTTCCTTTATTCTGAAAAGCCTTAAAGAGGACGAATGAAGATGTATATGTATGTATGTATGTATGTATGTATG